CGCCTCCCTCTCACTTGCAGCCCGAGGCTCTGCCGTCCTCAGAGACCCTCGCGCCCACTGCGGTCCCGCTGTCTTCCCGCCCTCCGCAGGCCTCCCGGCTACTACGGGGCCCCTAATGGCCCCATGCCCCGTCCACGCAGCCTTGTTCCCCAGCCTCCCACCGACTCGCGCCGCTCCCGGGCGGCCCCGGCACCAGACAGGCCTGCTGCTCCCTTCCGGCCTCGCAGCTTCGCTCCCAGCGGCCGAGCCAGTGCCCGGCGCCTCCGGGACGCTCTGTGGGTGCCAAGGAGAGGCCGGACAGCGCTCCTCACGTGGAAACGCGGCCACACGGTGAGTCTGTCGCAGCATGAGTCCCAGCGGTCAGAGGGGTCGAAGTGCTTCCCCTGCGGGTTTGAGTCTCAGGCGCAAACCGGAGTGTCCCCGGCTCCGCGGCACGGGCACAGAGTCCAGGCCCAAGGCGGACCCCACCTCAGTATCTTGTAGGGGAAGGGGCCGGGGCAAAAAGCCGTGGGACGTCGTCCGCCCCCACGTTGGGGGCCTAGGGCAGGGCGGAGCAAGAGGCAGGGAGCGCTCGAGTCTCTGGCTCCGAGGCAGAGGTGGGATCCAGGTTCAAGTCTGCGCCCCTGGCGGGCCTCAGCTCCTCGCTCACTGCGGCCCGGAAGCCAAACACTGAGCACTGGCCGCAGGAGGCCCTCAGGATGGAGGGGCCCTCCCAGCTGCGCCCTGGCCAGGCCGGTCCCCACACCCACCACGGCCGGGCTAGGCGAGTCACCGCGGCCCAGTCTGCTGCCACCGAGAAAACCCCGGCCGAGCCAGGGGCTGTGCGTTTCAGAAGGGCGCTCCTGGCCCCAGACTCAGCCCCACAATGAATCGGGGATGGGCAGAGGGGCCCAGAAACCCTTTCCCAGCCCTCCTCTTGTCTCTGCCGTGGGCCCTGAGCAGTGAGGCGACTTGCTCACAGTCAGCGGGCCCAGGGGTGCTGGGAGCGTCCTCAGGCAGGGGGGCAGCCCTGAGAAGGGGAGGGTGTCGTAGGGAAGGGGGTGCATAGGTAACTCCGCAAAGGGGGCTCACGTGTGCAGATGCAAGGCTGGAGGCACCAAAGCTCCACTTAGAGCAGGAAAAAGAGTCCCAGCTTAGAGGGGTGCCCTCTCCCCCATGCTGCCCTCAGACCTGGGTCCGCGCTGGGGGCAGGGACGATGGGAAGAGGGACGTAGGGAGAGATTGCTTCCAAACCAGCCCCCACCTACCTCCTGCATCGGCTTCTTCCAAAACCACGGGCTGGGAGGGGAAAGAGGAGAGAAGAAGGTAGAGGAGAGAAGTTCTGAAATCATAAAAGCAAAAGACAAAGCTTGACCAGAAGGGGGAAACCCTTTAAAATGTCAGTAATTACAGAGCAGTGAACAAAGACTCAAAACAGCAAAGCTGACAAGGAAAACCACAGTTGCCAGCAGCGAGCCACGGTGAAAAGATGTACTTTCACCACTCGGAAGGGACGCCAGCTCGGGGGACCCAGCCCACCGCCCCTGACCCCGGACGGATCCCGAGGCTGGAGGCACAGGGGCGAGGGGCCCCGAGCAGTTCCTTGGCACCGTCTCCAGGAAACGGCATGCTGTTCCCCGCCAAATGAGGCGTGACCCTAACGCCCCCAGCTCTGAGACCGTGACTTGCACCCACCCACCCCCTCCCCCGCAGGGAGCTGCGAGAGCAGGGGCCCGTCTGGCCGGGGAAGATGCGCCGTGCAACGTGCGAGTGAACCTGCAGCCCTGACAGGCCCCTCCACCAGGAGCACCGGCGCTGTGGCCCCGTCCCCCCGGCAGCCGTGACACCATCTCCCAGACCTCCTCCGAGAAGCTCTTCTGTGTTAAAGGAGGCCACGAGGGGCCTTCACCAACTGGGGGCTCCCGATGCCCCCGGCACTCCTCACACAGGAAGGCGGCAGGACCGCCGGGCTGCCGAGTCAGGGTCAGGCTGGAGCCCAAAGACGGGGTTCCAGTTGCGTGACCTCGGGCCAGTCACTTCCTCTCTTTGAACCACAGTTTCCTCATATGTAAAATGGGGTTAAAGACCTACCTCCCGGCTGGCCGGGGCGGTGGCTCACGCCTGTAATCCTAGCACTCTGGGAGGCCGAGGCGGGCGGATCGCTCAAGGTCAGGAGTTCAAAACCAGCCAGAGCAAGATCGAGACCCCTGTCTCTACTAAAAAATAGAAAGAAAGTAATTGGCCAACTAAAAATATATATAGAAAAAATTAGCCGGGCATAGTGGCGCATGCCTGTAGTCCCAGCTACTCGGGAGGCTGAGGCAGGAGGATCACTTGAGCCCAGGAGTTGGAGGTTGCTGTGAGCTGGGCTGACGCCATCGCACTGTAGCCCGGGCAACAGAGTGAGACTCTGTCTCAAAGAATAAAAAAGACCTACCTCCCAGGCTGCTGAGAGGGTCAGAGAAGGCAACAGACAGGAGGCACCTTGTGAACAGTGAAGAGCCGTGCGAGTATTCGCAGTCATTCTTGGGCCCAAAAAATACACGCTGGGCGTCTGCTCTCTGCCAGGCCTTGGCTCTGCCCGGACAACATAGCCAGGAACAACAGGGAGCAGTCCTGCTGGGACAAGACAGAAAATGGGAGTGAGCAGGACACCCCAGGCCACAGCCCCTGCCCACACCCGGACAGACCGTGCAGGGACTCGCGTCTCCCGGCTCCTGTGCATTTTCCCTGCAGGCTGCCTGGGGTGGCCTGGACGCCGCTCAGCTTCCCCGCCCAGCCACGCCCAGCCAGCCCCCCACGCAGCCCCGGGAGCTGCTCAGCCCAGACCCTCTCTCCTTCCAGGGCCCCACGGTGGAGGCTCCTCGGCTGGGGGAAGCAGGATGGCGATCTGTAATCAAAGTCCCTGGCAACGTTTCCACAGATTAGTCAGAGGAACCTCTCTGCCCTGAGCAGGGAGGGGACCCTTCTCTGACCCCCTGCCGGCTGCTCGGTTGCCACCACGCTCTGGTGGGCACTGCATCTCCTTTTTTTTTTGAGACAGAGTCTCACTCTGTTGCCCGGGCTAGAATGCCGTGGCGTCAGCATAGCTCACAGCAACCTCAGACTCCTGGGCTCAAGCGATTCTCCTGCCTCAGTCTCCCAAGTAGCTGGGACTACAGGCATGTGCCACCATGCCCAGCTAACTTTTTCTATATATATTTTTAGTTGGCCAATTAATTACTTTCTATTTTTTAGTAGAGACGGGGGTCTCTCTCTTGCTCTGGCTGGTTTCGAACTCCTGACCTTGAGCGATCCGCCCGCCTCAGCCTCCCAGAGTGCTAGGATTATAGGCGTGAGCCACCGCGCCCGGCCACTGTACCTCCTTAGAGAGGCTGCCAGCCCCTGAATCGGCCAAGCCGAGTGGCAGAGAGCTTAGGTCCTGCACCACAGCGAGTTTCAACCTTAGCTCTGCCCTTCGCCAGCTGCGTGACCTTGGGCAAGAAACTTGACCTTCTTGGATTCGCTTTCCCTAATAATAGTAATTCCACCCTCATTAGTGTGTTGTGAAGACCAGACAAGGTGAGGAACGTAAATAAAGCCCCTTGCATGGTACGAGGCATAGGTGAGGCGTGCAACTAATTTTTATCTATTTAGCAAATACAGACGGGACCACAAACTATTCCAAGTACGTCACAATCAATGACTTGTTTGATCCTCACTCCGTCTTACAGATGAAAAAACCAAAGCCCAAAGAAGTTACATGACTTGTCCAAAGTCCCAAAGTCCCAGAGCTGCCAGGTGGCAGAACCTAGGTGGGGACCCGGACTCTCTCCCCTCCTGCTTCTGCCCATCTTTCTCCTGCCAGTCCCTGCGTTTAGAGAAAGTTGACGCAAGGGAGGGGCACTGACTGGGGAGCAATCCTCCCCCACATCTCTGCCCTGCCCGCCCAGACGGCAGGGGAGGTGCCTGAGCACACGTTGCACCTGCCCCTCCAGGCAGGTTACGCTGCCGCTCCAGAAGAGGTGACGGTGTGGGTCTTAATCCCCCTTGAGATCAGCCTCTCGCAGAGACGCCCCCTCGAATCGAGCCTCTAGCCCCAGTCTGGAGCCAGAGGTGTCCACACTCCGGCCCTCACACTCACCTTGGATTCTGCAGCTGGTCGGGTTCCCGGGGCCACACAGGAAGCGGAGGGACTGCCACAGCCTCAGAGGAGCCTGGAGGGCGGGCACCCCCCACCCAGCAGCTTCCCTCCCTAGGGAGCCCTCGGCCTCTGCCCGCACACCTCTGGTGACAGGGAGCTCACTGCCTCTGTCGCAGCCTGGGCAGGCCACGCTCGGCCAGCTCTGACTGGTAGACGTGCTTCCTCCAGCTGAGATGAAATCTCTCTGTGTAATTTCCTCCCATTAGTCCTGTCTCTGCCCTCAGGCCCCGCAGGGCCGCCGGCTGTCCAGCCCCAGACATCTGCAGATGGCCATCTTTCGGCAGGAAGAGTCTCCGCTGGTGCTGAACGCTCTGGCCCCAGAAGGCAGGTCCACGGCGCCCTCCCCGCCCCGGTCCCCACTCTCCACCCACGGCCAGCAGGACGGCGGGGCTGCAGAGGCAGCTGCTCGCTCAGCCAGCGCCTGGCCCTCAGCTCAGCCCTGCCGGCTGGGAGCAGCAGTCACAAGTCACAATGGCCACCACTCAGCAAGTGCTTGCCCTGCACTAGCTACTGCGCCAAGCACTTCACCAGCACGAACCCATCACATCTTGCCAGCTCCGTGACACAAGTATTACCGTGTTTCCCCGGAAATAAGACAGGGTCTTGTATTTATTTTTCCTCAAGAAGACACCCTAGAGCTTATTTTCAGGGGATGTGTTATTTTTTTTAAGTACGGTGCAACCATCTGCATTTATTCAAATGTAGTTAAGTCGCCTTCTTCTGGAACATCATCATAACCCTCCAAACCCCGAATTCCATTCTGAATGTCTTGCGATTCTATTTCCTTTAGAACCATCAGCCCCGATCTCTCCTGTCGAGCACTAGAGCTCTCCCGATCTCTCCTGTCGAGCACTAGAGCTCTCCCGGGGCAGGTGAGAAGGGCTGCTCGTCGTCTTTCCCGCTCCACAACGCAATGCAGGGGTTGTGCAGATGCGCTGCGTAGCCACGCCCAGCACTAGGGCTGATTTTCGGGGTGGGGCTCCTGTTGCGCACGTGCTTAGAAATCCTGCTAGGGCTTATTTTATGGGTAGGTCTTGTTTTCGGGGAAGCACAGTATTATTACTCCCCAGACCCCTTAACAGATGAGAAAAGGCAGGCTCAAGGGGGAGGAGACTTGGCCAAGGTCTCGCCCACGGTGAGCAGGTAGAGAAGCCGAGTGTCACAGGCTGGTTCCAACTCAGCTCTCGACCACCTGGAGGCAAAGACAGGCCAGCCACAGGATAGGAGACTCACTCGCAGGAAGCAGAGACCCACAGCTCAGGATGCGTCGAGTGCGGAAGGGAGAGAGGATCTCTGCGGCCCCGGGAAGGTGCGAGGCTTCCTGGAATAGGGAGAGACCAGAGGTGAGCCTTACAAACACAAAGGCGTCTCCGGCACTGCAGAATTTCCAGCTAACGAATGGAGACCTCCCCCACCCTCTCCCTGGGAGCTGAGGAACCCCACTGGAGCTTTGTATCAGGTCATTAAACACGAAATGTCCGATTTCAAATCGAAAGTGTCACCTATGATATCATGAACAAGAAGCAGTGCAATTAATCAAAGTATGCACCTAAGCTATCGACACAGTTTTGCCATCTTAAAATCACGAAAGGCATTTTCCACAGCTTGTTGAGAATGGAATATTTTTCCTTGCAAGAAGTGGTCCAAAGCCTGGCAGAAGTGGTGGTCAGCTGGTGCAAGGTCTGGCGAATACGGTGGATGGCAGAGAGTTTCCAAGTCCAGCTGCTGTAGTTTGAGCAGCGTTGTTTGCACAACATGTAGTCAAGTTTTGTCTTGCAAGAGGATTGGACTGTCTCTATTGACCAGTCTGGATGCTTAATCACAAGCATCCTCATCACTCCATCCAATTGGTTGCAGTAGAGTAACTTGCTGTAATGGATGGACCAGGTTTCATGACGCTGTAGCAGATAATACCAGCGCTGGACCACCAAACAGCCACCATTAGCTTTTTTTGAAGAATATTCAGTTTTGGACTGTGTTTCGGCACTTCATCTTTATCCAACCATTGTGTTGAATACTTCAGATTGTCAAGAAGAATCCATTTTTCATCACGTGTACCAATACAGTGCAGAAATGGTTTGCCTTTATGTCGTGACAGCAAGCTCCAAGGCAAGCTCCGAGACGATTTCTCTTCCGATGCTCATTTAATTCATGTGGAACCCATCTATCCAGCTTCTTTACCTTGCCCACTTGTTTCAAATGATCCAATATTGTTGGAATAGTGACATCAAACCTTGCTGCTAATTCACGCATAGGTTGAGATGGATTCACTTCCACTAGTTTTCAGATCATCATTATCCACTTTGGTCTCAAGGTCACCCACGTGGCTCATTTTCAAGGTTAAAATCACCAGAATGGAACTTCTCAAACCATCGATGTACTCTGTGTTCATTAGCCAGATCCTTCCCAAACACTTGTTGATATTTTGAGCTGTCTGTGCTACATTGGTTCCATCATGGAACTCATATTAAAAAATAACACAAATTTTTTACTTATCCAAGGTTTCACAAAAATTTCTCTAAAAAATGGAAGATAATCACAAGCCAAACGTGTCTGAAAGAATAAGGATGTACCTCCACAACAAAAGTAAAACAAGTGGCACAGTGAGATGTCAGAGATACCAACTGTCAAACTTAGTACTTAAGGAAATCGGACATTCCATACGTAATATCCTCATACAACAGCTCTATCCTCTGGGAAGCAAATATTAGGCACCACAGCATGCTTGGTCCATGTTAGAACTCAGCAAGGGCAAAACTGAAGGCTCCGTGATCCAAAGAAGCTGCGAATCAAGCAGGGCAGGAGTGAGGCCTGGTCAGAGCTGTGGTGCACAGTTTTAGCCTCATTTCCTCCGTATTGGGGGCACAAATTGGGAATACCTCCCCCAGCGCCCCTGCGTGTTTTGGATGAGGAGTGCTCCTCTGTGCTCCCTGAAACCAGGGGCACTAGCACCCCCCAGCAGACTCCCAGAAGATCCATGTGTTTCTGAAAATCGTACATGGAAAAAATACACCGTCAAATCAGTTTGGGAGACACTGGATAAAGGTGGTGGACGGGATTTCTGTGGTCCAGGACTCCTCAGAGCCTTTGCTGGCCGTGAGCATGGGGACTCCAGTGACAACAGGGTCTGGTGCCGGTCCTCTTCAAATCCTCCCTGCCCACCATGTCCTGTTCTCCTTCCCCCACCACCCCAGCCACCCCTGGCTGGAGGAGGGGTGAAGCTGGACATAAGAGGGTGCTCTTCCCACGGGGCTCTGGACTAGGAAAACCTGGAACCCCAGTGCAACGCACGGGGGGAGGTGGTCTGTCCTACCGAGGGGGCAGACAGGGAGAGCCGGTGACCCGGGGAGGGGGCACTTGGGAGGAATGGTCCCAGGTGGCGGGTGCTGGGGACTGCAGGAACTGGGACGGACGTGAAGAGGTGCCGCTCTAGCCGAAGCTCACTGGAAGGCAGAGCAGCTGCACCACGGCAGTTGTGTCTCTGTTCCTCTGCAGGTCACAAGCACCCACACGCACGCACACGGCACACACGCTTGAACACACAGTGAAACTGCAGAGTTTCCAGAGAGCGAGCTGTGTTTCTAGCAACAAACCACACTCCACCCCTAGGACCTGTGCCCCAGCTTTGCCCTGAGAGAGGGTGCTCGCTGGGAAGTGCTCCTGCCCAAAGCTGGCAGCCCGGCCTCCAGGCGGCTCTGGGCAAGCCCGGACAGGACGCCAGGCGGGCAGGCGGCAGGAAGAGACGCGCTCGCTCAGAACCTCCCCTGCTGCAATTTACTAAATCCATCTGGGGCTCCTTTGAGCTGCTCTCTGGAAATGCCACATTTCAAGGGTCTCCGTGTTAGAGAAAGGTCAGAGAGTTCATGCAGGCCTTTCATGTTGAAGGAACTTGAAAGAAAAGGAAAGGAAATGTATATTTTCAGCTTTAGCTATGATTAAGTGGGCTCAGCCCATGGGAACATTCAGATGATTTACATGACGTTACATGAAAAGCCAATTAGCCTAACAACTTCCGAAAAATATCTAGCTCAAGAGCACCCATTTATTAGGGCCCTAGGAATGTGCCGGCGCTGTGCTAAGTTCTTTCCTAGGACACGGTGAGTCATCTCAGCAGCACTCCGTCCCACAGAGCCAGGCAGGCCTGGGGGGATACCCATTTCACCCACGAGGAAACTGAGGCTCAGAGAGGGTCAGTCATTTGTGTGGGGTCCCACAGCTAGTAAATGGCAGAGCAGGGATGGAAACTGGAGGCCGCCCAAGTCTAAAGCCAGAGCTCTCTTGCTCTGCCCTCGAGCCTTGAGGGTCCTGACTGGGTCCTGCATCCAGCATCTGAGAACAACGCAAGTTCACCTGGTTCACCTGCGCAAAACTGAAGCCTTGTTAAATCACCAGCTCTGACCGGGTCTGGAGAAGTCCAGAAGATTCTGGGGCTTCTCTGCTGCAGGTCCTGGTCCTGAAACTCCATGGTAACCTCCAGGGAGGCAGCCACAGCAGACCCCACTTGTCACCTTGCAGAAGAACTCCAGGGCCGGTCTCTGTATGGGCTCCGAGTCAACATCTAGAACAGGAGGCCTGGGGGGCGTAGGAGACAGAGGGTGCACATGGAGATCTGCATGGCTCAAGGGAGAAGTTCTAGGCCCTCTTCTCCAGCAAAGGGGTCTGGTCACCCTATACAGACCATGGAGTGGTCCCGCCTCCCCCATGCAACCTGAGCCACCCAGAAATTCAGGACTCTACATTAGTGACAGTGTATCCATCAGCATTTGCTTGTCAAGACCACCAAGCAGATAAGGACTCCTTTTGGAATTGCAGGGGACAGAATGGAACATGACAGCGTGGTACTTAGGATGTGGGCTCAGGAGCCAGGCGACCTGGGTGTGACGAACAAATTCCTATGCACACGGCACATATCTTATTTTGAAGTAAAAAAACAAACGCGCAAAAAACACCCGCACGTGACCTGCAGGCCGTAGTTTGAGGATTCCTGGTATAGACTCATCCAACACCTAACTCGGCTCTAATAATTGCTCAGCTTCTCAAAGCAGCCTATGGCTCCCAGGGCAGGACGCCTCTACCCTTCCCCTCTGCACAGCCTGGCACCGGGCTAGGCACAAGGTAGCTGATCCCTCAGCAAGCCCTCAGATGCATTTCAGCAGGCTGTGCATGCCTGTGCCTCAGCCCTCCTCCCCCCCCTTCTCTGTCCTCACCCCTGCTCTCCATACTCACCCACACACTCCCAGCAGGGTGAGGAGTTGGAGTCATGACCCCACAGGGCAGTGGTTCCCAGGCTTTGGGATTTCACAGCCTTATAAAATGCCCAAAGAAATCTGAGGATCAGAGAGTGGACAGATGAGGAAAAATGTCTGTATTTTCTCTTGCTGAATAAGGCCATTAAAAAAATCTATTTTTACCATCATTTCAGTTAAAAAAAAAAAGGGCCATTTTCACACCAATAAAGCAAAAAAAGAAAAGAAAAAAGACCATTTTCAGACCAATAGAGCAGTAAGGCCATAATTTTTGATTAAAGGCTAATACCAAGCTGAAAAAATTTAACCTTATTGAGAAAACAAAAACAAACACAAAACAAACCACCTCATTGTTGCTCCAACTTCTCTCCTTTCTCCACGGACTGGAAAAAACTCCAATCCCTACTGACTTGTGTCCATGGGGCCTCACGGGCCTGGGGACCCCATTCTGGAGGAGGCTCCTGCTAAACTGGGGTCACCCACAAACACGGGAAGACCTGAAGGAGTTAGGCAGACCTGTGTTCCCCATGAGCGTTCCCAGAGGAGGCTCATCCCAAAGCCAGACCCTGCAGCCTCAGGGCCGCGCCGCGGTGGGGGAGGCCCTGGCCCGTCCCCGCGCCTCTCCCCCTCCGGCAGGGCCGCGCTTGGCTGGAGCCTCCCCCGACCTGGATGGAGCCTGCGCTCACGCCGGGGGAAGGAGGCGGGAGGGACTAATGGGCAGGGTCTTCCCCGCATCTCCGTTGCCAAGCTGAGCACGAGTGCCCGCCCCACCCTCGGGAAGGGAGAAAGTGGGCGCCCTAGCCCGGAGGTGGGGGGAGGGCGGTCCGAGGCGCCCCGCTGGGCGGGCGCAGATAGGATCTGAACACAGAGAAGCTCGGCCTTAGCTCTTTGATCCGCGGCCAGCCAGGCTGGGCCCGGACCGGAGGGCGGTGCGGCTGTCTTCCGGCCTGGCCTCGCGGCTGCCAGGGGTCCTGCGGGGCCCTGGGCGGGCGAGGCGTCCGGTACCCAGCCCTGCCCCCATACCCTGTCCCAATTGCTCTCAGAAGAGGCGGGGGCGTCTACACTGAATCCAGCACAGAAACCTGCTGGCGGGGCGGGCTGCGGTTTGCTGCACCACGATCCCAAGGGCTGGTGTCTTTTGCAGACCAAGTGGCTGAGCATGCGGTGCATGCCCGCGTGGATACCGCCCCGGGGGCCGTGTAGATGCGACCGGAGGCGGAGCACGCTCTCGCGCGCAGAGACCCGGACCCTTCAGCCCGGATCTCGCGAGGGGCTGCTGCGCCAGGCTAGGGCAAGGTCAATGAGCTCCCTGAAAGCTACTTCCCAGGTCCAGTCCTGCGGCCCACGTGGCCGCCCAAAGCCGCGAGTTCCCTGGCCGAAGGTTCCAGGCACAGAACTGAGTTGGGAGAGCGTAGAGGGGTGTGGCTGGAGGATCGGCCAGGAAGGCGGAGGTCCTTCCTCCACGTCCCCGTGGCTGCGTTTGCTGCTCGGAGCCGTCGCACGGCAGAGGGGCCGGTCACAGATGTATGATTTACGAGCTCTGCGTGCAACACGCTGCGTAAACGAGCGAGGGGCGCACGCTCCTGTTTGCTCCGTGTGCGGGCGGCCTGCAAGGAGGGCCCAGGTTGGCCGGGGATGGAGGATGGGGCAGAGAACTGTGCTTTGGGGAGTCCTAACCCTGCTGGTTCCCGGGGGTCCGCACACAGCCTCGAGCGGCCTCAAGCACCGGGGCAGGGCCTGGACCGCGCACAGCTCACCGCGGCTCCTCTGAGCCACGCCCACGCCCCACGGGCCGGGACCCGCGCCCCCCGCAGCCGGAGGGAAACCTGGGCGCGCGGCAGGGATATCTAGTCGCAGGTGAGGATGTGGGGTCGGGTTTCCTTCAGAGTCCCTGCATTTCAGGAGAAGGATGAGGATTTTGAGGCTCATCCGACGTCTCGCGGGGAGTTCGCTCCGGGGAGCGAGCCCTTTAAGACCGTGCCCGGTGGGCGCGTCCCGGCCTCCCGGGAAAGGAGGGGGCGGGGACCGGACTCCCGGCGCCGCCCATCGGTCGGGGCCCGCCCCGCGCGCCCGCCCCGCCCCCGGCACTCCGCCGGCGGCGCCTTTGATGTTCGGACCCGCCGGCTCCGGGAGCCGCTCTGCCCGCGCCCTCGCCCCGCGCCCGCCGCCCGCCCAGGCGGAGTCCGCCGCGCTCCGGGCTCGGAGGTCGGGACTCCGGGCTCGCCGCCCCCGGGCCGGCCCCGCGCCCCGCACTCCCCGCGCCCCGGCGGCCCGCGCCCGGCACCATGCCGCAGCTGGACTCCGGCGGGGGCGGCGCGGGCGGCAGCGACGACCTGGGCGCGCCCGACGAGCTGCTGGCCTTCCAGGATGAGGGCGAGGAGCAGGACGACAAGAGCCGCGACAGCGCCGCGGGCCCCGAGCGCGACCTGGCCGAGCTCAAGTCGTCGCTCGTGAACGAGTCCGAGGGCGCGGCGGGCGCGGGGTCCCGGGCCCGGCGCAGGGGCGCGGCGAGGCGGAGGCCGGCCCGAGGTGAGCGCCCGCCGCCCGGCCGCCCGCCGGCTCCCCGGCTCCCCGCGCGGCCCCCGCGGCTGGTGGCCGCCGGCCCTCGGGTCCGCGCCCCCGGCGCTCACCCCTCCCGCTCCCTCCGCAGGCGCTCGGGCGGGAGCACGCTTCGCAGAGGCTCTTCCCGGACAAACTTCCAGAGCCCCCGGAGGACGGTGAGTGTGCGCCCGGCCCCGCGGGGCCCCGCGGCTGGCACAGGCGCGCGCCGGGGTCGGGGGGCGCCCCGCCGTCGCGGCCCGGGGAGGCGGCGCGGCCCGGGGTGGGGGCGTGGGGGGCGGGCTTCCCGGGCGCCGCCGGCCCGAGTCACTTCCGGTGCCCTGACCTTTATAGGAGTAAACAGACCCCCGGCGTCCCCGCCTCCCCTGCAGCCCAGGTGCCTGGCTGGTGCCGTCTGCAGGAGAAGCGTCGGGTCCTGGGCCGAGCGCGGGTGGGCTGGGGGCTCGAGCAGGGGCCGCCCGCGGGAGGCCGGACTCGCCGTCCCGCGCCCAAAACCTGGCCCTGCGCGCGCTCCCGGCGCGCTCCTGCCCAAGTCCGGAGCTCGAGGGGCCCGTCGGCGGCTCGCTCTTGGCGCACGAGCAGGCGGCCTGCAGCCCGAGCCGCCGCGGGGCTGGCGTGTCTGACCCGGCTGTGGTTTTTCCAGGCCTGAAGGCCCCGGAGTGCGCCGGCGGCGGCATGTACAAAGAGACCGTCTACTCCGCCTTCAACCTGCTCATGCACTACCCGCCCCCCTCGGGAGCGGGGCAGCACCCCCAGCCGCAGCCCCCGCTGGTAAGTGGCCCCTGTGCCTGCTACCGCCCCGGCCAGGTAGGTGGTGAGGTAGGAGGCCAGGTAGGAGGCATGAGCCAGAAGAGACGTTTGCCCGAAACAGAGTGGATGGATGGGGATTCCGTGCTGGTCTTTTTCCCCATACACGCCCAGTGGGATCTGAACCAGAAGGAGAACTTTGCACGAGGAAGGAGGGGCCGCCCTGGGGCACCCCCCAGCCCTCCGGCTGTTGGCTTTTGTCTTCCCAGCGTGCTCAAGCAGGTGCAGGGCTGTGCTGGTGCTGGGGTGGCTCTTCTAAGAGCACGGTGGAGCGGGACCACCCCTGCTGCCGAGGGCGGTGTGTTTCGTGGGCTCTGAGCTCAGACCTCTGCAGTGAGCGTCCTCCCAGGAAGCCCTGAGCCCCCTGCTTGGGGGATGGGTGGAAAGGCTGAGCTGTTCGGGTCTCCTGGTTGTGCAGAAGAAACACGCTCCACGCTCCGCTCGGCTGTGTCTTCATTGGCACGAGCACACCCTTGCCGGGAAGGACCCTGAACAGCATGCGTGGAAAGCGGATTCTTAGGAAGCGGGCTTGATCTCAGACACATCAGGAAGGGTGTGCAGAGGTGCTGCAGGGCAGTGGTAGCAAGAAGGGGCCGGTTTAATAAATTGGTGAATTAAATCTTTTTAAGTATGCAGAAAAGACTGATGCATTTCTGGATACTTAGACATCTTAGAAAAGATTTTCATGGTCATTACAAACTATCCTTTTTGGCCCACTGGTGCAGATGATGTAAGATGTGAAGAGCCCGTTCTAAGTGCTCTGGAGCGGTAAGGTCTCACTTTAAAAAAAGCTCCTACGAGTGTTTCAGGTTGTTCTCAATTGGGCCAAACAGGGGTGAGGGTACAGTGGAAGGTTTGGAGGACCCTGGTGGGCAGGTGTTAGGTGCAAATGGCAGCCCAGTGCCGGGTGGGCCAGGAGGCTAGAGGCTTCGCCGGGCTAGTGGTAGGTAGGTTGTTCAGGAGCCAGGAGGGTGTTCTGATAGTGCTTCCTGCTGAAGCTGGCGGGAGGGAAGGAGACAGGCAGGCTTCTCTCCAGAAACCCAGGATGGAAGACCTTGTAGACGGCTGGCTCTAGAAATGAGCTTCTCGCCCTTTGGACTTCCACGTTCTCATCTGTAAATGAGCCTGTTGGCCAGGGGGTTGTCTGACCTTCCCTGCTCTAGGGTGGCTTGGTGTAGGAGGTGGTTCACTTCCTTGCAAGTCTGGAGAGGAGGCTCGCCCCCGCCCTGCCACCCGGTGTGGCAGCTGTCCCCGTAGAACTGCCCTGCACCGGCGGGCGCTCGGCAAAGGTGCTTTGTGCATCCCCGGCAAGGTGTAAGCCCTTAGATTTGGGACCAGGTTGACATAGCAGCCCACAGGTGAGCTGCTCGGACAGGGGCTGGGGTCAAGGTCCAGGCCCACGGCTCCGTGCTGCTGCCTGCCAGCGCTCCACGGCAGCGCAGGGAGAAGGCAGCGTTTCCGACCGGAGTTCATCTCACAGTGTGGGCAAGTGCTGGGGGGGGGCCCAGAGCAGGGCCGGGCTCTGCTGGGAGGGCGTGGGTGACGGGGCCACTTGGTGTCCTTTGGCTCTCACTAGGCTAGAGCAGGCACATGGTGGACTCTGATGACAGTCGGGAAATTTGGAGGAAGGCACACCGCCACTCATCTGGCCTGTGTCATTTATTTTTCAACTTTAGGTGCTTCTCAAGCTACAGCAGATGCGTTTCGTTTCTTTTCTTTTTTAAGAGACAGGGTCTTATTCTGTAGCCCAGGCTAGAGCATAAGAGTATAGTGGTGTGAGCCTAGCTCCCTACAGCCTTCAACTCCTGGGCTCAGGAGATCCTTGCTCCTCAGCCCCCTGAGTAGCTGGGACTGTAGGCCTGCACCACCATACCTGGCTATTTTTTTTTTTTTTTATATTTACTTGGCCAATTAATTTTTTTTTTTTTTTTGTAGAGATGGAGGGTCTCACTGTGTTGCCCAGGCTGGTCTTGAACACCTAGCCTCAAGCAATCCTCCTGCCTTAGCCTTGTAAGTTGTTGGGATCCCATGTGTGAGCCGCCGCGCCCAGCCCAGCAGCTGCATTTCTGTGTGTCGTCACACCCTGTCCCGGACGTGCCAGTTCCCTTGCCATACTCGCAGAATCCCAGCCGCAGCCCCCTCTGCGTGGCTTCCCCCTCTGTGTGGCTTCCGGGGGCAAAGCGGGGGGAGAACAGGCTTTGGCACTGTCTGTGCCCTGCCCCAGCGTCTCTCCGCGGCTGGGGACAAGAACAGAGGCAGGGGCCTAAGCTGGAGTGGCACTGGGCAGGGAAGGCGCATGTGACTGCAGGAGCCTCCACTGAGCGAACCTGGTGGCTCTAAACACACAGCATGTAGGAGTGACGGCGTGCATGACCTAAAGAGCTGTGTGGACGTTGAAAAAACGGTCGGGATTTACAAAGCAAAAGGGATTGACCCCATGTTTTGGGAGCACACTTATCTGAGTCCAGGTTCATGTGTCTGGAACCAGGAAGGAGCCCCTTATCAAGGGCCCCGAGCAGAAACTGCCTGTAGAGATTTTCCCCGAAGCTGGTCCCTTCCCCGGGCCCATCTTTGAGGACAGACAGCGCTGCCCGGCCCCGGCCACAGGCCCCAGTGCCAGGCCCTTTGCCTAGCCCTCTCTGAGGACATCCAGGTGGTCAGCAGTTGTGCTGAGGTGCCCAGGGCCAGTCCCTGGACCCCTCCCCCAGGTAGCAGGGGACGCTCACTTGGGACTCCCTCTGCCCGAGTGTGGGTGGGTGCCCATGTGGCTGCCACATCAGAGACCTCAGGACAGGCAGGCTCAGACCTTGCCAGGAGCGATGGGCTAAATGGCCACCTCCCAGCCAGCTGCCGAGGGACAGAGATTTTTTTTTTTTCTAAGAAGTTTGCTTGTTTTTGGTATTTGGCTTCTTTTAAGCTTTGTTGGAGGAAGGGGAAATTAGGTGATGTTTGTCAGGCATCTAATGCAGGCACTTACCGGCCTAGATGAGTAACAACCGTTGCTTGTTTTTGTTTTGTTTTCTCTTCTCTGCTTTGAGACCTTGGGCTGGGTGGGGAGGGGCGGGGGAGGGGCGCCGGTCCCTGGCTGGACTTTGGGGGGATTCTGGGATGAGCAGGACATCATCCCTTAGGCAGGGTCAGGCGGTTGGGAGCGTGAGGCTGTGGGTCTGGCCATTGAGGCGCCGTTGCTCCGCGGCCCTTCTGCGGCCTCCCCTTAGAGGCTGAGGCCGACGGATGCTGAGCCTCTGCCGCTGAGCTGAAGCCTCCAGCGCAGACGAATCCAGAGAGACGGAAAGTAGGTCAGGGCTTGCCAGGGGCAGAGGGAAGAGGGGCGTGGGAGTGACTGATCGCGGGCACGGGCCTCCCTTTGGGCGAGATGAATGTGTTCTGGAATCAGGTAGTGGCAGCAGGCGTGCGACCTTATGCGTACACGGAGAGCCACTTGTGTACTTTAAAACTGTGTGCTTTAAAATGCTGTATTTTATGGTGTGCGAATTACATCTGAACTTAAAAAGCTGAGGCTTCTGGCCAGTGCAGGGGCTTGGGGCCACATTCCCCTGCCGCTGACCTCACGGCTGTCCTGGTACCCACGCCCGCCCCACGCCCCGTGGGGCCTCACTGAGCAGCAGGTGCGTGCCCGGGCTCCTGGCCGTCGGGCTCACCTTCCCCGAGTCCCACTGGGCAGGCAGGTGAGGGCCCTGCGAGGAGCCGGGTGGGGGCAGGAGGTGAGGGTGTGAGCAAGGCGAGCAGAGGAAGGAAGTGCAGCCGCGGCACGCCAGCCTGCAGGGAACTGCAGAGAGGCGCGTGTGCAGGAGCACCCCTGCCCCCGCGGCCCCAGAGCACGGGCAGCTGGGGAGGCAGCTGGGGAGGGTCCGTGCTGGGGAGAGCACCGCTCCTGGCTGGAGTGGAGCCGGTGAGGGAGGCTGGGCATCGGGCTCCGCACCCCGACCGGAACGAGGCTCTGCCTCCGGGAGCGCCCGGCTGAGCGGAGGGCACAGACGGGTAGACCCGAGCCGGGCGCTGGCTGGAGAGCTGCTGCCACCGGAGGCCCTGAGGAGCATCCTGAAGGCTGTAGGTTGTCCAACAGAGGAAGAGGCACCTGGGCTTCCCTCCAGACACGCCCCAGATCTGCCCACTTTTCCGCTTCCATCAGCACCCCAAACTGTCGCTGTCTCCCACCCAGACAGCACCGGTAGCCCCCTGCCGGGGCCCTCTGCCCCCACCCTAACTCATGATCCAGGCTCCCTGACCCATGATAGCAGCCACAGGGGGCCTTTAAAAACATAAATCAGGCTGGGCATGGTGGCTCACTCCTGTAATCCTAGCACTTTGGGAGGCCAAGGTGGGAGAATTGCTTGAGGCCAGGAGTTCGAGACCAGCCTGGGCAACACAGCAAGAACCCATCTCTACAAAAAGTAGAAAAGTTAGCTGGGCACGGTGGTACACATGTAGTCCCGACTACTCGGGAGGCTGAGGAAGGAGGCTCACTTGAGCCCAGGAGTTTGAGTCTGTAGTGAGCTGTGAGGACGCTTCTGCACTCCAGCTGGGCAGTAGAGTGAGAGCCTGTCTTAAAAGGAACAAACAAAAACATAGATCGGGTCACATCTCTTACCTGATTAAACCCTGCATTGGCTTCTCATTGCTTTCGGAGTAACGTCCAAACCACTCGCCCAGCGTGAGAACCTAGGTGGCCGGCCCCTGCCAGCTGCCCCTTGCCGTTTGCACCATCCTCCTCCTCTATCCCTAACAGCAGCCGCCTCCCTGCCCGGGGCCTTATAAACCAGCAAGTTCTTTCCTCACCGCAGGACTTGGCGCTTGTCCGCTTAGCTTGGAGTTCTCTTCCCCACCTCCTCACAGAGCTGCCACCCATGCACTCCTCGTTCAGCGCTTAATTCATATGTCACCTCTTCAGACCATCCCAGCGGGGCCTCCTTTACCCCCCCCCCCCCCCCGCAGCTCTGCAG